AACCCAGATGGGACCCAAAAAGTGATGGATTAACCACAGGAAACTGTCCTGCATATGCAAGAAACAGACAGTATGGGGACCAGGAGGACATACCAGGTCCCACATGACATGCACAACCTGCCGCCGAGCCACCAAGAACACAGGCTCAGGGCTGCAGTGGCTCTAGGATAGAAGCCCCTCCACCTGGACGCTCCTCAGGGAGTTCCCAGACTCACTGACATGGATTACCTGACTCCAGATGAGGGGCATCTGGGTGATTCTTGGCAACCACCAGCGGAAAGAGCCGGTGACCGGTGGCCCGCATGCTGACCATGTGACACGCAGAGCTGCCCACAAGGCATGCAGGGGTGGCCTGGGGGACCAGAACCTGGGGATCATTCACCCTGAGTGTGTCCTGAGCAGGGCCCACAGCACCTCATTCACAAGGCTGAGGCCTACGGCATTTGCAAACGGGCCCCACAGTGCTGGCAGGCCCTCAGGCTGCACCACCCTGCCTGCCCCCCGACACAAAGGTCAGCTCCCTGGATTGACCCTGGGGCCAGGTGAGTCCCCATGGGGATGGACGTCAGGAGGGCCCCCACCGGATCTGAGCACTGCAGAGGAATCCGGCTGCTTGGGGCAGTCAGTCCTGGGCCCCACAGGGCAGGGACAGGAAGCCCCTGGAGACCCAGGACACAGGGAGCCAGACCCGCCCTGGAGGACAGGAGGATGAGTGGAGCGGATGCCCTGCACACAGGCAACGTGCAGACGGTTGAATCAGCACCCTAGCCCAGGCAAGGGCCTCGCTGCGTGGTACACTGCGCCCTGGGAGCCACCCACCCAGGATTAGGGACTTGGTCGTGGGTGGTGCTGGGAAGTGGTGGGAGGAAACCCTCCTCTCCTACTGCAGGGCTCCCAAAGGGCCCCATCCTGGAGATGGACCGGCCCTGGGCAGGCCCAGAGGGGCCCCGGGACAAGCCCAGCCTCCATCTAACTGGGAAGGAGCACCCACATCGCCCTGCTGGCCCCGGCACTTCTGGGACATGGACAATGCAATCTCCAGGGGATCCCCAGAACCCGGCCTCAAGTGATGTCACTGGGTGGCCCCAGGATGTGCGGGTGGGCGGAGCTATGGCAGCCACTCTGAGACACAGAAACCGAGGGTTAACGACAACAGCACTCGTCAGACAGAAGTCGGCCCACATTCGGCACTGTGGTAAACACACGCTGTCCCCACCCCAGGGATGCTGAGCTCCGGGTAGCCAAGGTGAACTCTGTCCTAGCTCATCACACTTCCATGTGTCCCCAGGAGGACAGCTGTGACCAGCACAACAGCCCCCATGACCACAGGGTCCCACCTCCTTCAGTCAGAGAAACAACCACGGATGGAGCAGGAGCGGGAAGGTGGGAAAGGCCGGGACCCCAGGGAAGACTGGGTTCTCCTCTGGAGGCCGGCCTGGTGGGCGGACAGGACAAGGCCCGGTGGGCTGCAGGCGGTGGCAGGACTGACCTTGGGGTCTGGTCTGTTCTCCCCCTATGGCATCTCTCTGTTCTGTTTGCATGGCCTTGTTTTTCCTTCCTCCAGCCGAACAGCATCATGTTGCAGGACTCGGGGAGTCAGTCCTAATGGCCTCCATTGTGCCCCATACATGGGCCAGAGGGGCAGCCCTGCATGGACTGATGCTACCCTGGTCATGAAGTTCTACTGGTCTGGGCAGGGGGTACTTTCTGATTCCAAAAACATAAGCCCATGAAGCTGGGATTTGGGGGATGAAAGACAGCCCTTCAGGATCCCCCACAGCCACCATCTGAGGGCCTTGCTCTGCGCATTGTGACAGTCACGACCAACAAGACACTTGAGAGAATGTAATGGGGACTGCTTGCTGACACAGGTATGAACTGAGTGTGGGGATCCCAGGGCTCTGAGGGCTGCAGATAGGCAACCAGAAAACATGTCCCTTTGAGGTAAGAATCACTTTGAGCTTCAGGCAATTAAAATTCCCCAACATCCACGCCCTCCCAGGAAGGGCAGGATGACCTCAGCCACCTGAGGCAACTCCCAACCCTCACCTGCTGATGATGGCACCTCGAAGGCTGTGAGGCCGATATATCCACACTGGCTCTGCCAACATTCGCACCTGGCTCAAGCCCTTCTCCTCTGTCCCATCACACCCCAAAATAGTTCATGCTCCTATGTTACAGTGCTGCATAAACCAGGTCTGCTGACCCTGGAGGCACACATGGCTGAGTGCACCCCCTCATTCGTGCAAGGCACATATGACTGATTTACAGGCTCAGCCAATTAACCTAAGGTGGGGGGAGCCTTGCTACAAGACTAAGTCCTTGCTGGACACAAAGGAGGAGGGCGGGGAGCAGGTCAAGGTCCCTGGAGGGCAGCGGCCATCTGCTCAAGGAGGAGCCAGCCGAGAAGCCTTGCAGGGAGCCAAGGCCCTATCAGCTGTGGGCACACCTCTCGACAAGCTGACCCACAGGGCCAGGGAGCAAGGCAGTGTGGCACACAGAGATGGCTGACAGCCTGAAGGATGTCAGACCACTGTCACTAGCAACCAGCCCAGAAGCCAGACTGTCACCCCAAACGGGGAAAGCCCAATCAGTGAACCATGGTCCATGACCCCATAATTGGGGTATCTCCTTCCAGCTTAGGACCAACCAGGGAAAGCCAAACACACTCCATGGAGCCACCCAGTGGGCCGCCTGCTGAGCCAGGGCCCCAGCCCTCATTGGGCACCCCAAGTCCCCTTTTTCTACAAAGAAGTTTTCTGTACAAGGAGAATGTTCAACATATTAACATACACACCTTCACAGCATCTCTGCTCTTGTAACAGCGCAAATGTTTCTGAGAGCCAGGCCCAGATTTCCATAGGATGGTTTCCAGATTTTCAACCACACGTAAATTTGTAGCTCAGCAACTATCTTAAATGAAAAGTCTGGTCTGGAAAGATGAGATCTTGAACACTGCATGGGGACCGGCACAGATTCTGATACAGCCCGACATGCTGTCCCACCCTAACTCACCAAAGCAGCCCTCCATCAGCACTGACCAAGGACCAGCAGCAACTGGTGCCCAAGAACCCAGATGGGACCCAAAAAATGATGGATTAACCACAGGAAACTGTCCTGCGTATGCAAGAAACAGACAGTATGGGGACCAGGAGGACATACCAGGTCCCACATGACATGCACAACCTGCCGCCGAGCCACCAGGAACACAGGCTCAGGGCTGCAGTGGCTCTAGGGTAGAAGCCCCTCCACCTGGACGCTCCTCAGGGAGTTCCCAGACTCACTGACATGGATTACCTGACTCCAGATGAGGGGCATCTGGGTGATTCTTGGCAACCACCAGGGGCAGAGCCGGTGACCGGTGGCCCACGTGCTGACCATGTGACACGCAGAGCTGCCCACAAGGCATGCAGGGGTGGCCTGGGGGACCAGAACCTGGGGATCATTCACCCTGAGTGTGTCCTGAGCAGGGCCCACAGCACCTCATTCACAAGGCTGAGGCCCAGGGCATTTGAAAACAGGCCCCACAGACACAGAAACTGAGGGACAACGCCCGGCACACCGGCCAGAGAGGCTCCGGCTCACACTCAGCAGTGCAGGGGCCACACGCTGTCCCCACCCCAGGGATGCTGAGCTCCGGGTAGCCAAGGTGAACTCTGTTCTAGCTCATCACACTTCCATGTGTCCCCAGGACAGCTGTGACCAGCACAACTGCCCCCATGACCACAGGGTCCCACCTCCTTCGCTTGGAGATGGCGCCACGGATGGAGCAGGAGCGGGAAGGTGCGAAAGGCCGGGACCCCAGGGAAGACTGGGTTTTCTCCTCTGGAGGCCGGCCTGGTGGGCGGACAGGACAAGGCCCGGTGGGCTGCAGGCGGTGGCAGGACAGCCTGGCCCTGCCTCGCTCTCCGGGCAGGAAGAGGGGCCCAACAGGGCCGCAGCCACAGCTTGCGGTGGGCCAGCAGGTATAGACCCTGCAGGAGGCAGACAGCCCAGAGCACCAGGACGGCCACTTCCCACCATCCCTCACGGCCCCACCTCCCCACCCCCAACACCCTTGGGAGGCAGCCTCGGACTCCCCCAGGCCCTCTGAGACAGAAACCACCCAGAAGAAAAGGGAACTTTGGGAAGAGTGCCACAGGTTTCAATCCCGTTCTGAGTCTCTGCGGGGCTGCTGGGAGGGAGCCCACACCTCCAGGACAGCCCAGCTCCTAGGAAGATGTGGGTACACAGCAGAGGTCCTGCCAGCACCCAGGAGCCACAATGGCCCAGGGCCCCAGAGGATGTGGCACTGCGGAGACCGGGTGTGAGGTGAGTGGGGTAGGCTCGCAGCAGGGGCACAGGAGTGGAGAGGGCACGGGAACCAGCACCGAGGCTCAGGAGCCCAGAGGGACTCCTGCAGCTGAGGTAGCTTGGGGGAGCAGGCTGCCTGGGGTCCATGCACCCAGCCCAGCACCAGGACTGGGGGCCATAGGCATGCTCACCCAAGCCAGAACCACGTGACACCCCACAGGGCATTTGAGAACGTGAGGGGCTGGGTGGGTGCAAGCCTAGGTCTGCCCTTGACCAGCTGGGCTGGGGGCATGGGGCTGGGTTGGGCTGCAACAGGATCCACACAAGGATGGACACAGGTCTGAGCCAAGGACCTGATGCACGGCGGGCTCAGCACAGGGACACTGGGAAGGAACAGACCCCCAGGTGTCCTAAAAGTCCTGTCCAGGCCAGGGCATGGTCAGAGGTAACAGCTGTGGGGCCCAGGGCTGCAGCCGGTGAGCCACAAGAGACCACAGTCGAGGAGAGGAGACCGTGATGTGGGCTCTCATGGGCTCAGAGAGCTCCGGGGTTGAGTAGCCTGCTTGGTAGGATAAAAAAGCAGGGAGCTGAGGTCAGGAGCTGGGCCTGGGCTAAGGGGTCCAGAGGGGCACAGAAGACAGAGGCAGCCCTAGGAGATGTGGGGGCCGAGCAGAGCTCAGGGACCTGGGAGAGGGACCGAGGGACAGGAGGGCACCAGAAGCATGGACCCCCAGGAGCAGGAGGGCCACGAGCATGTGAGCGGGGCCTGGAGATCGCGGGGGCTGCCCAGGAGGAGGAAGGACCAGGCAGAGCTCCGCAGGTGAGTACGGGCTGGGAGGGCACGGCGTGGACCCAAGGGCTCAAGGGACCAGGCAGAACTGTAGCAAGTGACCCGGGATGTGGGAAGGGAGGGGCCTGACCCAGTGACTGCACAATCCTGTCAGAGCACTGGACGGGGATGGGATGGAAGGAGGGTGAGCAGGGGCCTGGGAGGGCAGTGGGGAGCCCCAGGAGCTCAGGGGACCAGGCACAGCTTGTGTAGGTGAGCATGGGGTTGGGGGACAGTGGGGAGCCCCAGGAGCTCAGGGAACCAGGCACAGCTTGTGTAGGTGAGCAGGGGCTGAGAGGGCAGTGGGGAGCCCCAGGAGCTCAGGGGACCAGGCACAGCTTGTGTAGGTGAGCAAGGGGCTGGGAGGGCAGTGGGGAGCCCCAGGAGCTCAGGGGACCAGGCACAGCTTCAGTACATGAGGAGGAGGCTGGGAGGGCAGAGGGGAGCCCCAGGAGCTCAGGGAACCGGGCACAGCTTGTGTAGGTTATCAGAGGGCTGAGAGGGCAGTGGGGAGCCCCAGGAACTCAGGGGACCAAGCAGAGCTTGTGTAGGTGAGCAGGGGCCAGGGAGCGCAGTGGAGAGCCCCAGAAGCTCAGGGGACCAGGCAGAGCTTCTGTAGGCGAGCAGGGGGATGGGGGTGAGTGGGGAGCCCTAGGAGCCCAGGGGACCTGGCAGAGCTTGTGTAGGTCACCAGGTGGCTGAGGGGCAGTGGGGAGGCCCAGGATCTCAAGGCACCAGGCAGAGCTTGTGTAGGTGAACAGGGGGCTGGGAGGGCAGTAGGGAGCCCCAGGACCTCAGGGCACCAGGCAGAGCTTGTGTAGGTGAGCAGGGGGCTGGGTGACAGTGGGGAGCCCCAGGACCTCAGGGAACCAGGCACAGTTTGTGTAGGTGAGCAGGGGCTGGGAGGGCAGTGGGGAGGCCCAGGATCTCAGGGCACCAGGCAGAGCTTG